TCCTGAGTAGCTGGGACTACAGGCGCCTGCCACAACACCCGGCTATTTTTTGTTGCAGTTTGGCTGGGGCCAGGTTTGAGCCCACCACCCTCAGTATATGGGGCCGTTCCCTACTCACTGAGCCACAGACGCTGCCAGGGACATATTTTAATACAAAGATAGTTAAAGTACCGGGGGTGGGGGAAACATCAGTGAAGGAATGATACTGAGGACGTGGGTCAGCACCATGAATGACTGGGCTGGGAAAAGGAAGAAGGGGGTGGCTGCCGAAGAAGGTGAGGGAGATGACAGGTTAAAACTGAGCAGTGGTCTCTGCTCCTTCTCAAGCTTAAAACTGAGCAGTGGTCTCTGCTCCTTCTCGCTCCCAGAGCACTACGGCAGATTGACAGAGAAGCTGAAGGGCAAACTCAGCTGTATGTTTGCAAAACGAGTGGCTTATGGTATGACGAAGTAGATTACACTGAAGTGAAGACCCACGTGTGCCTTAATGATGAGATTCAGGTGGGAAGCAATTGGAAGGCACGCTGTGTGGGGAGAGGGCGACTTGACTCAAATGTGTGGATTTGTTACGTCTCTTAATGTCCTGAACCTCAGTGTTTTCTTTCTTTTTTTTTTTTCTTTTTTAAGACAGAGTCTTAATCTGTCCCTCTGGGTAGAGTGCTGTGGCATCACAGCTCACAGCAACGTCATACTCCTGGGCTCAAGCGATCCTCTTTCCTTTGCCCCCCAAGTAACTGGACGACAGGCACCCTCCACAATGTCTGGCTAGTTTTTCTATTTTTAAGAGAAATGCGGTTTCACACTTGCTCAGGCAGGTCTTGAACTTCTGAGCTCAAGCTCAAGGTGACCTCCACCCACCTGGGCCTTCCAGAGTTCTGGAATTACAGGTGTGAGCCACTGCGCCTGACTAACCTTGGTGTTTTCATCTCAAAAATGGAAGTGGCTTGGCGCCTGTAGCTCAGTGAGTAGGGCATCAGCCACATACACTGAGGCTAGTGGGTTCAAGCCCAGCTTGGGCTAGCTAAGCAATAATGACAACTGCAACCAAAAAACAGCTGGGTGGGTGCCTGTAGTCCTAGCTACTTGGGAGGCTGAGGTAAGAGAATCACTTAACCCAAGAGCTGGAGGTTGCTGTGAGCGGTGATGCCATGGCACTCTACTGAGGGCAACATAGTAAGACTGTCTCAAAAAAAAAAAAGAAGTGATCATTTCTGCTTTCCCTGTTCCACAAGTGTCTTGAGAGAATTATGAGAGATGATATAAGTTTCTACCCACACGTCAGTTGCTGTAAGGGCTCTTCGTGCATTCATATGCTCCAAAAACTTCTCAGGGTGTATAGTCTGCCAAGGACTTTCATGTCTTCTGTCCTCTGGGACTTTCTTGGGGTCAGGGAGTGTGTGTGTGTGTGTGGGGGGGGGTCTGCAAATAATTTGTGCACTTGGAAGAAGAGGTGGGCTTTGGATATTCCATCATCTCATCTCCTCTGCCAGCTTCCTGGGGGAAAAGCCCACAGACCAGGAAGCAGGAGGTGTCCATGAGAGGCTAGCCCTAGAGGGTCCTGTTCTAACTGCTGGGGCAGCACCTCGGCAAGCAACAGGGCTTCCAGGACCGACTCCAGTAACCGGCAGGCTGTGTGGCAGGATGTGGTCATTGGTTTCTGTTTCTGTTTTGACTTGTCCTATTAAGGTGGCCTGTTTAGGACCTCCCAAAGGGGAAGTGCCCATAGGTAGACTTGAACTCCCCAGGCACTGGGTCAGAAGGGAGGGTGTTGGACAGGTCTCCTTAAAGCCCTTTCCTCAAAGTGATAGGTATGTGCCAGGGTGAGCCTTGCCCGCTGTCAGCCCGGTTGGGAGGAGGGATGAGGACAGACAGGGGGAGGCCTGCAGGGTCTTGTTTGTGGAGAAACTGGGGAGGGACAGAGGCGAGGCCCAGCATAGCAGCCCACTGCACTTCTCTCAGCGCAGAGGCCCTGAGGGAGACCCAGGGGAAGCACCCCTCTCCCAAAAGCACACGGGTGCGCCGTGAGTTTCAGGTCCCCAACCCCTGCCTTTCACTTCTCCTCAGCCCCCCTACTACCCCACAGCTTGTCAGCATAGGGAGCAAAGGCTCGAGTTGCCTCCACTTGGAGAGCCTGGGGTTGGGGGAAGGTGGGCGTGGGCTTCAGCACGGGCTTGGCACCTCTGGTCCACCCTGCCTGGCCCTGCCCGGGAAGCTGTCAGCTCCCACCCCCAGCCACATAATGTTCTTAGCTTCTGAATGGCTGGTCTGCCCTGTGGGACCTGAGTGTTGTCTGTGGGCATATGCAGGTGGTGCTGTATCCATGGGGGGTTCTGAGAAGCTTCAGTGCCTTCATATTGATTGGTTTTTTTTTTTGAGACAGACTCTCATTATGTTGCCCTCAGTAGAGTGCTGTGGCATCACAGCTCACAGCAACCTCAGCAACCTCAAACTTTTGGACTTAAGCTATTCTCTTGCCTCAGCCTCCCAAGTAGCTGGGACTACAAGCTCCTGCCACAATGCCTGGCTATTTTTGGTTGCAGTTGTCATTGCTGTTTAATAGGCTTGGGTTGGGCTCTAACCTGCAAGCTTTGGTGGATGTGGCCAGTACCCTCCTCACTGAGCTATGCGTGCTGAGCCAGTGCCTTCATATTGAAACAAAAATGTTGGTACCTCCATCAAATGGTCAAGTCTTAGGGATATTTTAAAAAACACATACATGGGGGCCGTGCGCACTGGCTCACACCTGTAATATTAGTACTCTGGCAGGCCAAGGCCAAGGCGGGTAGATCTCGTCAGCACAGGAGTTCGAGACCAGCCTGAGCAAGAGTGAGACTCATCTCTAAATAGCTGGATGTTGTGGCAAGCGCCTATAGTCCTACTTGGAGGCTGAGGCAAGAGGATAGCTTGTGCCTGAGAGTTTGAGGTTGCTGTGAGCTGTGACACCATGGCACTCTACCCAGGGTGACAGAATGAGACTCTGTCTCAAAAAATAAAAATTTTTTTTCATGGCAAACAGCATTATAAAGTAAGATTTATGCCACCTTGTAGCCTGTTATGGATGTTTATAAAAAGCCTCGACAATAATAATAGTAAAATAATAAAATGAAATATATAGATATTAGGGTAGTGGAATTGCTGGTAGGGGTCTCAGCACACAGTGCATTTGTTTGCTTGTTACTCTCTGTGTGTGGTGGTTCTTGACTCCCAAAATGCTAAAACAGATGTTGTGCATTGTCTGCCCCGCGTGGGGTTCTTGACTGCCCTTGAGAACAAATGTACCCTCTACAGGGTGAAGGTGAGTGTAATTTGAAGCCAATTGAAAGGGGAATGGATTCTAAAATTATATCTCCTCTCAGATTAGCAAGTGTGTACACATTCTGTCGTGGAGCAAGAAACCCTAAGTCCCAACCCCACATGTGGATTGTTCAGGACTATATCAGACTCACACGGTCGGATTAATCAGACCTGAGCACACAGAACAGCACAGAGAGGGTGGCAGATTCCAGGAGAGGGGCCCTGGTGGCCAGGGTAGGATAAGCGTCTGGTTCTGAACTCTGAGCCCAGGCCCTTACCGTGTTTGCCCTGGATCTGCAGGGGGCAGTTGAAGCTAATGAAGGCCTCCTCTTTTAATTCCAGGGACACATGGACACAGCCAGCCCACCAGCCACAGATCAGCTAAGCCCTAAGGCTGGTGCTTGCCCACATTGCTGAGAATGGCACGAAGGCCCAGCCAACAAAGGTGAACCCAGGACACTCCTGGACAGTGATCCTGATGTCTGTTCTGAGCCGAACACTCAAGGGTGTGATAAGTGAGTATGTTACAGGCACCCTGGGGATTGCTGGCTCCCCCTGCCTGCCTGGCGCCCCATCAGCGTGCGTCTGAAGGTTCTAGTTATGAGTTTGCTTTCTGTGCAAGGGCGGGTCACAGAGCTACAGTTCTGGAGTGGGAGGGGAGTGTCAAATATCAGGCCGTGTCACTTGCTGGAGCCATTATAGCCACATAGCTGCCCAAACTGGGCCAGACTCAGCTCAGCTGACACAACTGAAGCCAGACACCCACACCCAGAGACAGCATCTACTTTGGCTCTTGGGCTTTACGTCCGTGTAGGGATATACCTCACCTGGGATTGCATTTGGCCCAGAAGACATGAACAATTCATGTGGTGCTGGCCCAGAAGACCTTGCAAGGCCAGGGAGTTTGCTGGTCCTTAGCTACCACAAAAGTGACCATCAGGGGGTCAGGAGGAATAGAGTCCTCCTGCTTCTGCCGTGTGTCAGCATCTCTGCCTCAGCAAGATGAGCTCCTGGGAGGCCGAGAAGGCCTGTAGCCACACAGCCTTGCCTGTCCTCACATGGCCTTTCTTCCCAGCCTCAGCCACTGGCTTTTCCTTGATGATGCTTTAAAAAATGGCAATTGGCTGCTTTCCCAAGCCCCAGAGGCTTGCCGGGCCTAAAGGGTGTTGTGTCTGTACAGGGCAGACAATGCAGTGGTGGGTCAAGCACCTGCAGGAGGGGAGTTCCCTGGAAGGCAGGCAGAGCTGTACCTTTGCCATATTTTTTTGAGACAGAGTCTCACTTTGTTGCCTTCTTTAGAGTACGTGGCATCACAGCTCACGGCAACCTCAAACTCTTGGGCTCAAGTGATTCTCTTGCTTCAACCTCCCAAGTAACTGGGACTATAGGCGCCTGCCACAATGCTCAGCTATTTTTAGAGACGAGGTCTTGCTCTGGCTCAGGCTGGTCTCGAACCTGTGGGCTCAGGTGATCCACCCACCTGATGCTAGGATTACAGGCATGAGCCACCATGCCCGGCCCAAGTGCCTTTGCTGTCTTGACTGGACAAGCTCTTAGGGCTCCTGGGCAGGCTTTCAGGAGTTCGTGGAGAGTGGACAAAAGCTCATCAGATGGATATTTAGATAGATCTTGACTCTCCCGGTTGAGAGTTTACAGCTCCGGGCTGGAATTTGTTTTCCACTAATCCTGGGCTTGCAAAATTAAGTTGTGATGGTAGGAATGGGGGAAATCAGGAAGGGTATTCTCAAATGGATTTGTAGCTGGGGTGGTGTCAGTGAGGCTAGACCATACAGGAGGGGCATTGGAGGTCATGGAGGCCACTATGGGAATGTGTTTAAGATGGAAGGCACCACATGACACATCTTCCCAGAGTGGTCTGCACCAACAGCCTTAAAACTATTGTACCCTTTGGTCCAGTGAGGGTACTTTTTTTTTTTTTAACCCTTACTTAGGGATATCAATGATTCTTTTTCTGGAATAATTCAGTAAGAAGTCTTATTAGGAAATCGTCCCAGAAAAGAACAGGGCTGAATTCTTTTGTCACAGGCATAGATGTTTTTGTTTTTGTTTTTTTTTGAGACAGAGCCTCAAGCTGTAGCCCTGGGTAGAGTACCGTAGTATCACAGCTCACAGCAACCTCCAACTCCTGGGCTCAAGCAATTCTCATACCTCAACCTCCCAAGTAGCTGGCACCACAGGCACCTGCCATAACGCCTGGCCATTTTTTTGGTTGTAGCTGTCATTGTCATTTGGCAGGCCCCAGCTGGATTCAAACCCACCAGCTCTGATGTATGTGGCTGGCACCTTAGCCGCTTGAGCTCCAGGTGCCGAGCCAAAAGATGTTTCTTTTAGTGTCGTCTATAATCATGGAAATGGGAAACAGTTGTTCCCTTTTTTGAATGAAAATTGAGGTTGAGTAAATTATAGTTTTTCACCTGGTGGAATATTACATAGCTATAATGATGATATAATATAGCTATTACATAGGCAATATAGCAACCTTCAAAACAGTTATGATACAATGAATCAAAACAGAAGGTTTCGGGGTTAGTAGATCAAGGTAGCTAAAAAATGCATACATGGTGGCTGGGTGCCTGTAGCTCAAGCAGCTAAGGCGCCAGCCACATACACCAGAGCTGGTGGGTTCTAATCTAGCCCAGGCCTGCCAAACAACAGTGACAACTACAACCAAAAAAAAAAAAAAATAGCCAGGCGTTGTGTCAGGCGCCTGTAGTCCCAGCTACTTAGGAGGCTAAGGCAAGACAAATCGTTTAAGCCGGGCGGTGCCTGCAACTTAGTAAGTAGGGTGCTGACCCCATGTACCAAGGGTAGCAGTTCAAATCTGGCCCGGCCAAACTGCAACAAAAAATAGCCGGGTGTTGTGGCGGGCACCTGTAGTCCCAGCTACTCAGGAGGCTGAGGCAAGAGAATCGCCTAAGCCCAGGAGTTGGAGGTTGCTGTGAGCCGTGATGCCATGGCAGTCTACCCAGGGAGATAGCTTAAGGCTCTATCTCAAAACAAACAAAAAAATTTACATACATGGAAAAAGCTTGTAAGAGGAAATGATAATGGCTACTAGTTGGGTGGAATTATGAGTATTTTTTCTTCTATGATTCATGGACTGGCTTCTTTTACCTTGTATTGAGAGATATGGGTCAGGATTGACTACTTTTTATTTATTTATTTTGAGACAGAGTTTCACTGTGTCACCCTTGGTAGAGTGCTATGGCGTCCCAGCTCACAGCAACCTCCAACTCTTGGGCTTGAGCAATTCTCTTGCCTTAGTCTCTGGCATAACTGGGACTACAGGCACCTGCCACAATGCCCAGCTATTTTTGTTGTTGTTGTTGCAGTTGTCATTGTTGTTTGGCAGGCCCAGGCCAGGTTCAAACCCACCAGCCTCAGGGTATGTGACCGGCAACCTAACCACTGAGCTACAGGTACCAAGCCAGGATTGACTTATGTTAAAACAAACTTTAATCTGGATGACTTTACAATATACCATTAATAGTGACTTACTAAGATGTGGGATTGTGGAGGCCTTTTGCTTTCTCCTTAATTCTTCTCCGTAGTGTTTAAGTTTTAGCTGCAAGCACATTACTTTTGTAATCAGGAAAAACAAAGATATTTTCAAATGCTAGAATTAAAAATCTTAGAAGGCTGTATCACACATGAAAGAGGAGAGGAGAGGAGGGAGGCTGAGCCAGCCAGCTGTTTATACCTGCCCTCCTCAGTGCCTGAGCCTGTTTGGGTCTATCCATCTATCTGTTCCCAGGCTTTAGTGTTATTGCCAGATACATTCTAGGCACTGGTTACCGAGCAGTGAACAAGACAAAGCCTCTGTCCTCATAAGCTTTTCATTCTAGTTGGGAAAAGACAGACTATAAATAAGTAGCAAAATTTCAGAAAGTGAAAGCGCTATGAAGAAAATAAGATGAGGCCAGGCCGGTGGCTCACACCTGTAATCCCAGCCCTCTAGGGAGGCAAAGGCGGGTGGATTGCTTGAGCTCAGGAGTGCAAGACTAGCCTGAACTAGAGCGAGACCCTGTCTCTAAAAATAGTCAGGTGTTGTGGCAAGTGCGTGTAGTCCCAGCTACTCGGGATGCTGAAGCAAGAGGATCACTTCAGCCTAAGAGTTTGGGTTGCTGTGAGCTGTGATGTCAGAGCACTCTACTGAGGGCGACAAAACAAGACTCTGCCTCCAAGAAATAAAAGAAAAAAGAAAACAAGATGGAATGACATGAGTGACAGAGGGTTTTATGGATTGGGGAACCAGAGAAGTTCCCTGAGGGATGATAGCTGACTGAGACCTAGATGATAAAAGGAAGGGTGGCCATGTGAAGGTCTGGGAAGAACATTCTAGTCAACCTTCAGGGTGCCCTTTGCTTCTTCTTCTTTTTTTTTTTTTTTGAGACAGAGCCTCAAGCTGTCCCCCTGGGTAGAGTGCCGTGACATTACAGCTCACAGCAACCTCCAACTCCTGGGCTCAAGCGAGTCTCTTGCCTCCGCCTCCTAAGTAGCTGGGACCACAGGTGCCCGCCACAACGCCTGGCTATTTTTTGGTTGCAGCTGTCATTGTTGTTTTGGCGGGTCCGGGCTGGGGATTCGAACCCGCCACCTTCGGTGTATGTGGCTGGCGCCTTAGCTGGTTGAGCTATAGGCGCCGAGCCGTGCCCTTTGCTTCTTGAGCCCCATGGACATCTGTGCTAAGACTGACTCCCACTTGCCATGTTGTGCCTCCTGCTGGGATTTGCTAGTATCTGAGGCCCCTGAAGTCCCATGTGTGGGATGTTTGCTCCTGATGCTTTGGCTGTTGCTGCTTTAGGTAGGTGGCTGCCCTGGGCAGCCTGCATGCTGGCCAGTGCTCTTGGCTGACGTGTCTGTGTCAGGGCTTGGCTATCAGAGATTCCTAGGAGCACTGGGTGGACTAGCAGTTGGGTTCCAGGTATGTGTCCCCTTGTGAAGGGTCTTGGAATGGCACATGTCTTAAGGCCCCATGGCTGCTGCCATGGTCCTAGAAGAGTCAGCTTTGACCTTGCAGGGCCGGGTGTGGATCCTGTCAGAATACAGCCTGAGGAATAGGCTGGGAGCCTTTCCAGTTGTGTATGAGCTTTGTTGATGATCCACCTAGAACAGTGTTTTTCAGCCTTTTTTTAATCTCCCAGCACACTTGAACCCATAGTTATCCTTCAGCAACACACTTAAATGATGTTGATCAAGAAAAAGAGTAAAAAGGCTCAGTGCCAGTAGCACAGTGGTTATGGCGCAGGCCACATACAGCAAGGCTGGCGGGTTTGAACCCAGTTCCAGCCAGCTAAGCAACAATGACAACTGCAACAAAAAAATAGCTGGGCATTGTGGCAGGTGCCTGTAGTCCCAGCTACTTGGGAGGCTGAGGCAGAGAATCCCGTACACCCAAGAGTTTGAGGTTGCTGTGAGCTGTGACACAACAGCACTCTACTGAGGGCGACAGAGTAAAACTCTGTCTCAAAAAAAAAAAGAAAAGAAAAAATAA